CTATATTAGCAAAATAAATTAGCAAGCCACGGAATCTAACTTTACATGTAATCATATATATAAGGTGAGGTTGTTGAAATACCACCATATCGGCTTCAAAAAAGGGAATTCTTTTCCAAGAAAACTGAGGGAAGGAAGAGCAATTATCCTCTCTATGCAAAAGCCACAATTAGCAATAGTCACTGGTCAATTTACAAATAAAGTTGGTATTTATTTGTTTGTTTCTTTTTTTCCTAATCCTATCCAAAAAAGGATTGAAAACTTTAGTTTCTCCCCTTTTCTAGGATGCTGGCCAAACTCCACAAAATAAAACCGAAGAAAATGATGATAATTATGCAACATCCAGAACAAAGAACATAAGAATATATTTTTTTAAATGATTCATTGTGCACTTATGCCTGTAATGAGATTTTAACGCACTGTAAAAATAAGTGTGCTGGCTCATTTAGCTTCTCACGCAAATGTTAACGCAGGGAGATGAATAAGTCAAAGACGGGGCGGGCTTTTTTTTCTTTCCTCAGAAGTGTGAAGGAAAACCACAGCATATAAAGAAACTTAATGTTTTTAAATCACAGATGGAGCAACACAGCCTATCAATATGATGCCACAGCTAAAGGGGTCCTGAGACCTCAGCCCAGCGAAGCACCACAGGTAAACTGCTCAGAAACGACCAGGCCTAAATTAAGTCACGATCTCATGTGATGGTTCTCCTTTCCTTTTGTACGCCAAGTCCTAGCAGCTTCTGGAGAGCTTGGGAGGCAGGAAGGGAATAGAAATTCTAGCCACCCAGGATTCTTGGGGAATCTTTGGGAATTATATTTCCGCTACATGTCTATAAAAGATTTGTCGGATACATAACTCTTAGGACTGTAGACGCAACATATTCCTATCACGTTTGGGTACCCACACACATACATGTTTCTCTTTGTCTCACTGAGCCTGACATTTGGCCAGCAGGTTTCTCTCCCCCTTTTCTGAAACCTCAAGCACCGAAAAAATTTGGATCTGATTATTTCCGGATCACAGGACCAGCACTTTAAAATGGATGAAATGCAAGCAAATTGCCCACCAGAGCCGGAGGGGGTAAATGCTTTCAAAATAACTCATACCTTTCTATTAGGGATGCGCTAGCCCCTCCAATACCTCCCCAGGACATCACGGTGGCTTCTGATTCGGATGAAGACATTCTACCAGGTAACGCCACCAAAACCATCGTATTTACTCTCCACCATCGCCGGCCTCTGATGCCCATGCACACAAACTACAATTACATTTTGTTTTCCTTTTTCAAGAAAAAAAAAAAAAAAATCTATATACTATTTTTTTAAGTTACAAGATCGACTACTTTTTGGCATTTTCGGCCATGTTACGATGGCTATTTACTAATGGCAGTGTCCACACATGTATCACGATCATCAGCCTCTTTTTTTTTTCTAGGACGTGTCCCATCTCAGCACACAGTGAAAAGGGCCCAGAGAGTCGCTGTGAATTAAGTAGTGAGCTCATTATCTGGTTCAGTCTGGGAATAGCAACTCTGGACAAACGGTAAACTAAGAAGTTTTCTAACTATGGCATAGGTACTCCTTCCAAAGAGGACAGAAGAAATACCAAAAGCAAAAATATTTTAAATTCTCTGGGCACGTTCAGGAGGCCATCCAGTAGGCCAGCTCTCAGCCGCCAACACACATGTAGAAGGTACAAGCTGGGGAACCAGAATCAAATATTTGCAACAGGGAGGCTTAGAAACTGCCACTTTCTGTCTGTAGCTCTGAGCACATCCTGGAGCCTCAGTGTCTTCATCTATGAAATGGGAACCGTAGTAATGACAGCCAGGATCTGCCCAGCACTTTAAAGACCGCAAAGCACTCTACATCTGTTCCCTGAGAGCAGCCCACAAGGTAGGCAGAGCACAGATGGCGTGAGGGCAGATGAGAGAATGCGTGGGAACACACGCTGAGAATCGTACAGCACTGTGCACGGGGACCAGGCGTCATCGGGCCATCGCCACAAAGCTGTCTGCCTCCATAAAGCCCAGATGTTTACCTTCTTTCCTTGTCAGGACTTCCAAAAGCACAGTGTTGGGTGTTTAATACTAAGAAAGAAAAATGCAGCATCTGGTAATTTGGCCTTTCCAACTGCTTGGAATCTGGATAAGCGGGACTCTGCCATAAACAGATAGTGATTCTTATTGTTAATGATGACAATGTTAGTCCATGACGTCGCACCATTCCCAGCACCTCCTGACTCCAGATCTGGAAACGCCGAGAAGCCCAGCATGTATGGATAAGCTGCTAGACCCAAGGGCTTGTGCCCTTCCTCGGCTTAGGGTCTATCCGAAGCAGAAGGCAGATCATCTGAAACCTGACCCCAGACCAAGCAATACCGTCTTCTCTCCGGTCACTGGGCAGCTGTGGCCACAAAAGACCTGAGGCTTGGCTCCTCTCAACTTCCCATGGCCACCACACCCGAGAGTGCACTTCACATTCAGCATTTTAAAAATCAAACCATTCTCCCTCCTTTCCCTGCCCCCTTGATCTCAAGTATCACTTACCCTAGCATGGTGCCCAGCATGAATTAATAACAGTGACCCCTTCTACCTTTTTAGTTTATAAAGCATGCTTACAACCATTGTTAGGTTTACCCTGGGAGGAAGACATTACTACCTCTCATGCAAATGAAAAACCAGAGGCGGAGCGCATTAAACACACCCCAAGAGGAATCCCCACAATAGCCAGGCACTGAGGCGGGCCTTTCACTAAAGCTCTCCTCAGTCCTTCCAAGTTGGTCTCACCGTAAATTGACAAATGGGGGAACTAAGGCTCAGAGAGTGAACAACTTCCCCCCAAGCTCCCACAGATCATAGGTGGCAGGGCACAGTCGATGAAGATTTTTCAATTGGTATTTGCATCTGTTTCCAATAAACCTAAGATCTGGAGCTAGACACCAAACATTCAAAGGGTTACATGGTCTGGGGAATATTTGGGTGGGAGCAGGGGCAGTAAGAGGTGCCGGTTCCTTGTGGCATTTTTAAGAGGACTGCTGAAGCTCTGTGGGGAAGCGGATTTTGTCTCAGATCACTGAGGGGCTGGACTGTGAGGAAGAACTTGCTTGGAAGGACAGAGGCCACGTTGGAAATTTCTTCCAGCCCAGGTCAGTGAACAAAGGCTGGCCAGAGAACTCCCACCCAGACCACGTTGTAGCCTGCTACACAGGAGACACTTTCCCCACCCTCAGGCCTCAGTTTCCTCATCTTTCAAATGGGTATGATAAATTCTACCCCGCTAGGCTCGCTGGAGGCCGAGAAGAAAACAGTTTAGAAGCCTCTAACAAAGGTTTAACCAGAACGACCATCTTAGGATACAAAGAAAGAGGCTGTTCCTCCCATCCCTTTATCCTCCTCTGCCCTTTCCAAATACAATCCTGACTTAAACATCTCATATATTAGACGTTGGTGGAGGAGGGGGAGTGTGGATAATAATAATCGGGGTTTGGGAGAATGGAAGTAGGAAGACCATATGCAAAGCATCCAGATGAGAGGTCTCTAACCACGGCTCCAAACAAAGACTACATTTAGGAGAACCATGCACCAGGTCTGCAGAGAACTCGATCTTCAGCGACAGCTATGATTTTTTAAAACTAAAACGTGGCAGGAGGGTATCTGTTTAAGGGAGGATTATGTGTGGAGCGGGACAAGCCATGGAGCTCAGGGCAGCAAATATTACTCATGTCTTGCTGCGCACCACTCCTCTCTCCCCAGTAAAAGAACACCTCCTATGGGTATCCCAGTAATAATACTCTAAAGCCATTGTTTCCCGTGTTTACCCTTTCAAACAGGATCCCTATCTGTTGGAGAAGAGACTAAGATTGAAAATGACACAAGAAATAGCACTCTCCTACAAAGTCAGGTGTTTTCATTAAAAAGAAAAACACTGTTTACGTTCATTTCATTTTACCAGTGCCTGAATTGGGAAGTTAGTTATTTTCTACCCAGAAGAAGCCCTCATCTCTAAAACCAAGACATCCTACCTTTTCTACGTCACAGGGGCTGATGCTAAAGGAGTGATGTCTATAGAGCCAAAAGAAACTTTTTGTCTTCCTTGAGAATCACCTGGGAATAGAACCAAGAAGTCCTAAAAGCTAAAATAATGAAACCCCAAGCCTTGGTTTCTCTCAGGGGGAAAATAAAGTGTGGGGGGGAGGGACGACACTGCACCTTAACAGTTTCCCCAATTTCTGGTTAGTTATCTGTCAGCATGAAACTTATAAATAATGGCTCTATAATAATTAACTGTGATGAGAAGAGGTTCATGAGAATGCCAGCATCATCGCTGACTTTGAGCCCATAAACCCTACTGGGGCCTGCACCTTACACCCACCAGCCTCACTGGGTAGAGGAAGGGTACTGCAAAGGAACTTCTGACCAAAGATGATGCTTCTGAAGCTTCAAATTCAGAAAGGCCATTTTTTAAGCCAGAAATTGACTCAAGCTGGATCACAGATTCATAAAATTTTCCATCAGGAATCCAGAAATCATCTGATATAATTAATTCCTCACTTGACAGAAGGGGAAACTGAGGTTCCAGGAGGGTATAGGTCTTGTTGAAGGCCTCTGGTTTTTGTTATTTAGTGCCATCGGAATACGTCCAAATATGCCTGCAGCCAGCTCAGATACTCGAGTTGCTAGTCACCCTAATTTATAAGATTTTTGTAAGTTTCACACAACTTCTATCAGAAATACACAGAAGCAAAATCACCTAATCTGAACTTCCTATATACACACTTCTCCAAAATAGGTTTATTGAGTTTAAATTAGATGCTTCCTAAACAGGCATCATTTTATAATGACAACCGAATCCCAGACAACTAGAGAGAATGATGAACACGAGAGAAAGCTCCAGCAAATTCTCCAGAGAATTCCCACAAAGGTGTGCGGTGTCCAGGCCAGGCAGCCCGAATTTCTCCACACCTCCTGCCAGGCACGTTGGCGGGGCCAGACTTACCCTTCCCGGCGGCGGCGGTGGCGGCGGCCTTGGACGGCCCGTAGTCTCGGGGGCTCCGCGGCCGGAGGAGGTCGTGGGCGCACGGCGGCGGCACAGGCGGCCGGGGCAGCAGGTCACGCGGGGCCCCATCCACGCAGCCGCCGCCGCTCACGGTGACCCTGAAAGCCATGTGCGTGCCGCCGAGGCCAGTGGGCCCGCGGCCTGGGCCCGGAGCGCCGAGGGCCTCCTTCGGCCTCTTGTCTGAGTGCGCCTCCGCCACCTCGCAGTGCATGGCGCCAGGGCAGGGCGCGCCGCTGGGGGTCGCGCCGGGCTCCTGGGGAGGGGAGACAGCACCCGCGCGTTAGAATGAGCGGAACAGCCAGCCCCTTTCTATCCCGGGGGAGGTCTGGGCAGGTCACCACCACCTCCTCGGTTTATTCCTCGTCTCTAAAATGGGCTAGCCCCACCACACTTACCTTAACCTGACAAACCCACCTGATCCCGCAAAAGCCCCTTTCTGGCACAGGAGTGGCTCGCACTTCCTTCTCGGGTGTGTCGAGGGCCCCGGCCACCCGCCGCCACCGCGCATTCCGCGAAGCTCGTGCACCCTCCCGCTCAAAATCCGCCTCCACCGATACCAGCCTTCTTCAAAGGAAGAATGGGGAAACTGAGGCCTGGAGGGGTGAGAGCGCCTGTGCGGTGTCACCCAGTAAGACAGGAGCGGGCGGCAACTACGATTTCCAGGGCAGGACTCTGGCGGGGCGGCGGAGACTACTCCAGGTGGGTCAGGGGCTGCGCGTCTCCCGGACGCTTCGGGGACCCGGCTGCGCGCAGGACTGTGCACTGCGCACCCACGGGTCTGGGGCGCCGACCCTCCGAGACTGACCCCCGACCACCGAGGCCAGGAGAGGGGGCGTCCGATGATTGGCGCTCACTCCCGCGTCACGAACCCATCACGAGCAAACAGAGACACGCACACTCCCCGCGCAGCAGAGAAAATGAACCCATCTCACGCGCAAACCCGCACAAAGTCGGTAACGCCCATGGACGCTGGCTCCCACGCATACCACACACCCCCGCAAATGCACACTGGGGACACGGTGTGCCACACGTACTGCTCTCTCATTCACCCGCTCAGACACTCAGCAACACTAGCAGCCTCACTGGCTCACACTCCACGAACACGCGCGCTGGGTCCCCCTCCACAGAGTCTCGGCCCTTCCAACATCCCTCCTGGAACAAGGGCCCGGGGCCCCCAAACTCTCCTTTCCTCGCGCCGCTCCCGCGCCATTCCAAAGCTCCCGGGATTCGAGCGTCGCTGGGACCCTAGCCTCGGATCTCGGGCCCTGGCGCCCGCCCGCTCCCCGGGTCACGGGCCGCGCCCCCTCTCACCTCGCCGCTGCGGCTGCAGCTCGCGGGGCGCACGGCTCCGCGCGCCTCCACTGGCGCCGCAGCCCCCGCAGCTGCCGCTGCCGCCGCGTCCTGCGGGGCGGCATCCCGGGGCGGGGGCGGGGCCCCGACCTGCCCGACAGCCGCTCCAGCCACTGGCTCGCTGAGGCTGCCGCGCAGAGGCCAATCGCGGCGCGAGGGCGGGGCCTCCTTGCCCGGGGGCCTGGGCAGGGCCGGGCGCGGGGCTGGGCGGAGGGTTTGACAGGCGGCGGCTGCCGGAGCCCTGCGCTGCCCGCTGCCCTCCGGCCGCCTGGCCGGGCAGGGCGGCGCCGCGGGCGGGAGCGGCAGGGCTCTGTCGTCGGAGCTGGGCTGGCTGGGCGGCAGAGCGCACGGGGCGTGTCCCCGCCCGTCCCAGCGGCTGAGGCAGGACCCTTCCCTTCTCCGAGGTCAGTTTTCTCCTCATCAAATGCGACCGGCGAAACCTGCACGCGGAGGTAACAGATGTGAAAAGTGCTTTGAAAGTTTTGTTGCAGATCCAAGCGGCTCACTCGAGAACTTGCACGCATTTCACAGCCAGTCTGCGGCAATGTTGGGACGAGAACCAGGGATCACAGATCACTTTTCTTACGTTTTTGTTTTTGTGGTGTTTTTCAATGTAGAGTCGAGTCCAGCCTAGAGGGTCTCAAACTCCAAAGTTGAAAGACAAAAACAGGGGCGCCTGACTGGCACAGTCAGCTCACCATGCAACTCATGAACTCAGGGTCGTGAGTTCGGGTCCCACCTTGGGCATAGAGCTTACTTTAAAAATTTTTTTTTCCGAAAAATAAAAATGTTTATTAAGACAAACAAAACCAGATGCCGGGTCCCAACTAGAAAATATTCTAATTGTATCTGTGAATCTGTCTGGGGGCAAGGCCCCATAGCCTAGGTTGTTAGCGAGCTCCCAGGAGACCTTAGAGCCTTGGGGGTTGAGACCCATTCCTCTCAGTTCCTTCCGGGCCTGGATTCTGGGCTTCCCTCACAGACAGCAGTGTCTTAGGGAACCCTGTCCAATGTGTAGAAAGAACACCACCCAAAGAACAGGACTTAGGGCAACTGGAAGCAGTGGCTCGGTTCCCTTCTCTGAGCTTCAGTTTCCTCCTGTACAAAACAGGGCTGTTCACCTGGGCTGGATAATCTACCAGGGCTACTGGAAGGGTCCCTGGAGGCTCCTGAGGTGGTCTCCCCATTTCATCTCAGCCCACCCCCTCTGCACTGTTTGCTGGTGATCTGGGCCACTCCAAGGGACCTGTCGGGCTTCACACTCTCCTAAGTTAGGGGTCTGGTCTCTTTGGCCTTGACCTCAAGTTGAAAAATGTATATGGAGCCCCTCCCTATGACACAATAGGTCAGGTCTCAGAATAGAGGATTCTGCAAAGAGTAAGAGACTTCAAGCAGCATCCCTGGAATCTTGGGAAACCAGGATTTTAGAATCATAAAATTCTAAAATCTGATTTCCTATAATTGGTTAAATATAGCATCTTACAATGAGAGATCAATAATGGTAAGAAGGTCCTTGGAGATTTAGTTAGACCCACGCCCACATTCTTTTTTTTTTTTTTTTTTTTTTTTGCGAGAGAGAGAATGAGAGAGCACGAGAGGGAGGAGGGTCAGAGGGAGAAGCAGACTCCCCACCGAGCAGGGAGCCCGATGCGGGATTCGATCCGGGGACTCCAGGATCATGACCTGAGCTGAAGGCAGTCGCTTAACCAACTGAGCCACCCAGGCGCCCCCATGCCCACATTCAAAGGAGAGAGGATGTGACTGGCCCACAGCAATATGGTGGGTGTGGCAGAGCTGGCACCAGCATCCAGGCTTCCTGACTCCCAGTCCAGTCCTCTCCCTTCTATACCAGCCAGCTGCCTCTAACAGGTATAGGATATCCTCCAACCTGCCCGTTACACACAGGTCAAGGGCCAAGGGCTGCATAGGGCACCTCAAAGTCTTGCATGTGTCTGGGGATTTGGAGTTGAGAATTGTTGCTACTTTTATGGTAGGAGGAGAAGAGGTAGAAAGGAGCAAGGGTAGCTCACCAACCCCTCCAACACACCACTAGATGCTCCCCCTTCTGAATTTCCTGTGCTGGCTGTGCCACCAACAGGCCAGGCGGCTTTAGCAAATCATAATATCACTCTGGACCTCAGTTTCCACCTCAAAAAGCAAGACAGTTGGAAGAAGATGACTGGCCTTTCCAGTTCTACCTTTCAGTGAGTCCAGGAGGTGAGTCCTCTGCCATCCCTCCCTCACCATACACACACACACACACACACACTCTCTCTCTCTCTCTCTCTCTCTCTCTCTCTCTCTCACAACACTACACACTTAGGACTCTGAAAACACTTGCTGAGTAAGTCACTTAATCAACTGTAACTGCAGGCAAAGGCTCTCCAAATTTCCAACATGTAGCAACAGCTCACTCACTTATTCTTTACTGGGCACCAACCCTGAGCCAGCCCCCACGCCTGAGCTAGGGAAATGGAGATCCTGCCCTTCCCCCTGTGAGCTCACAGCTCTACCCCACTAGGACAGATGAGTTTGTAAAACCTGACAAAGCAATGAGAAGTTTAATCTGCTCAATAAAATAGTCCTCTTAAACACTTGTATATTGCAGGACCCCTTTGGGGATATACAGAACCTAGTGCGTGCATGCATTTTTTTTTTTTCCTACAAGGAAATACAAGGAAGTGTTAACAGTGGTTAAGGGAATGGAGGACTGGGGGGTACTTTTTCATTTTTTACTTTTCTGAACTGTTTCCTTTTCTAGATATATATTATTCTCTTTTTCAATAGGGATTATTTGAGTAGTAGGACTATGAGCTGTGTTTTTTTTTTTTATAGTTTTGGTATGAAAATAAAATTCATTAATATTTTAATTGTCATGAACAAAACACAGAAAAATAAATAAAACCCACTTCTCCCTTTAGCAGGCCAGACAGTAATGTGTGTTTTTTATACTAACCAGTGTTCCAGCTCAACCTGGCTTTTGCCCTTCTAGTCCCACATACAGCCTGTCTACTCAATATCTCCATCTCCATCTGGATCCATCTCCAAAAGCAAACATCATGTTTTCTTTCCAACTTAGCTCCTCATTCTTGTGTTTACCTAGTGAATGGCCCCATGGCCAAGTCCCCCATGTCAGAAGTCTGAGTCATCCGAGGTCCCTCCTCTCCCACATTCCCATATTTGATTCACCATAAATCCACCTAACACTTCCCCCCTGCCCTGCCCCCATTTCTTCCCAACTCTTCTTGCCTCTAGCCTCATCCTCTTCTTCCCTATCGCCCATTTTCCACACAGGTCTCTCTCTCAGTCTCTAAAACATAGATTTGACCATGTCACTTCCCTGATGAAGACAATGATCATTAATAGATCCCAACAGCCATCTAAATGAAGTCAAAAAATTTTCTCACTCCACTACTGAGCCCTATCCTGTGTTCCAAGCACCCTAAAATATTTTTCATCACCTAGAACCCAGAACATATATTCATGTCTTCATAGTTTTGTATATGATGTTTCTTATGCTAACATTTTTCCTTCTTGTCCTTCACACTCCTTCCAAGAATTGTTTGATACCCAGCTCAAGTGTCATTTTTTCTCAGAAGCCTTCCTGAAATCCTCTGACTAGGATTATTTTCTTCCTGCACACTCTTTCAGCAGTTTTAACTTCATTCTATCTCAGAACTTATATTATACCATTTTATAACTACCAGTTTAACATTCTGTCTCTTCCTCTAGACTGAGACCTCTCTGAGAGCAGGGGCAGCCTTTTGTCTTTGTAACTCCAGAACCTAGAACAGATTCTGGCACAGTCAGTACTAGGTAAGTGTTTATGGGATCCTGGTTGAATTATTAAAGACTGACCACTACTTCATTTGCCCGACTACATTTCCAGCTAAGCACTTCTTCAACCTATCATGGCCTCTCTACTCACCATCTTTATCCGGGGTTGTAAACATATGCTCAGCAAATGGTTGAGGCAAAAATAGACACTTCTGTGTATCTAAAGGTCTCCTGTGTCCTGGAAATATGAAAAAGGAGAAGGAATAGAGGTGATGGATGTTACACTGCTTACCCTGTCTCTCTTTCTTGCAGCAAGAGAAGAATTAACATTCACTGGGGAACCTACTATGTGCCAGGTAGTATGGCCGACAGTCTTCATATGTGATCTCATTTTATCCTGAAAACTCAGAGAGAGATTATCTTCCCCATCTTATAGGTGAGAAAATAAAAGTTCCAAATTAAGTGATATGCCAAAGTTCTCAGTTAAGAGTGTCTGCCTCCCATGCATCCATGGTCAACTGATTTTCAATAAGAATGCCAAGACTGGGGCACCTGGGTGGCTCAGTCAGTTAAGTGTCTGCCTTCGGCTCAGGTCATGATCCCAGGGTCCTGGGATCGAGCCCTGCATCTGGCTCTCTGCTCACTGGGGAGTCCGCTTCTCCCTCTCCCTCTGCCCCTCCCCCCCGATCGTGTTTTGTCTTCTCTCACTCTCTCTCTCTCTTTTGTTTGCTCTCTCTCTCAAGTAAATAAATAAAAATCTTTAAAAATAAATAAACTAATAAAAATAAGAATGCCAAGACCACTCATTGAGGAAAGAATAGTCTCTTCAACAAATGGTGCTAGGACAATTGGATATCCACATGCAAAAGAATGAAGTTGAAACCCCATCTCATACCACCTACAAAAAGTAACTCAAAATGGATCAACTTCCTAAATGCAAGAACTAAAAACCATAAAATACTTAGGAGAAAACATAGGGGTAATCTTGGTGACCTTGGATTTGGCAATGGATTCTTAGATGTGAAACCAAAAACACAAGCAACAAAATTTTAAAAATGGACTTCATCAAAATTAAAAACTTTTCTGCATCAAAGGACATTATGAAGGTAGTGAAAAGATAACCTACAGAATGGGAGAAAATATTTGCAAATCATTTATTTGGTAAGTGTTTAGCATCCAGAATATATAAATAACTAATATAACCCAACAGCAAAAAGACAACCCAGTCAAAAAATGGGCAAATGACACTTTTCCAAAGAAGATATACAATGGCCAGCAAGTACCTGAAAAGATGCTCAAACTTATTAGTCATTAGGGAAATGCAAATCAAAATTACCATGAGGTGGGGCACCTGGGTGGCTCAGTCGTTAAGCATCTGCCTTCAGCTCAGGTCACGATCCCAGGGTTCTGGGATTGAGCCCCACATCGGGCTCCCTGCTCTGCGGGAAGCCTGCTTCTCCCTCTCCCACTCCCCCTGCTTGTGTTCCCTCTCTCGCTGTGTCTCTCTCTGTCAAATAAATAAATAAAATCTTTTTTAAAAAAATTACCATGCAGTATCACTTCACACCCACTAGGATGGCTATAATAATTAAAAAACAAAACAAAACAAAACAAAATAACAAGTGTTGGTGAAGATGTGGAGAAATTGGAACCCTCATACATTGCTGGTAGGACTATAAAATGGTTCAGCCACTGTGGAAAACAGTTTGATAATTCCTCAAGACATTTAACATAGAATTACCATATGATCCAGCAATTCCACTCCTGCTCATTGAGGAGTCTGCTATATATGGGAGGCATATACCCAAAACAATGCTGTTGTGGAAACAATCCAAATGTTCATCAATGGATGAATGGATAAACAAACTGTACATATATATACATACACATACACATAATGGAATACCATTCAGCCATAAAAAGGAATGAAGAACTGATACATGCTACAACCTGGATGAACCTCAAGAACATATGCTAAGTGATAGAAGCTAGACACAAAAGGTCACAGATTTTATGATTCTACTTATATGATATATCCTTAATA